CGCTCTTTTAATCAAGCATAAGTAATTCTTAATTTACTTCCTACCACCATTCATTATATTTAACGTATTCTATAATCTATGTATTTCAATAACCTTTCTTATCTTGAGTTTTATAGCAGACATACCATAATAGGCGAACCTCTGCGTACCAGAACATTCTATCTTATGTCCAGTCTCCATCATGTGTTCCGCCACTTCTGGCCGTTCGACCCAGCTGCCTTTACAAGCATTTTTGTACTCCTCTAATCTTTGGCGGATCGGCCTACAGGTCTCGTTAGCATAAGGTCGACCACAGGAATACATAATCTTATAATAGCCGGATCTTGATAGTGGGTCATATTTCCCTCTAAAAGTAAAATCGAAGAAAGTGTCAGCTTCTTCGGCAATTGCTTTTATTCTGCACTTCCTCACTAGTTCTTTATCTTTTTGGAAAGAAATGATGGTTCATTTAGATGACTCATTCTTTTAATGAAGGATGAAACAGCTTACTGTTAACTTGAGGCTTTCACCAAAATGAGTCCTAGCTCTGACGATGCTCGTCGCTTGACAAACAAAAGCTCAGCTCGTCTTCGCCCGAAACGTTCAAGGATGCCTCGTGGACTGCATCAACCTGAACGTCGTATAAAGACCATACGACTACGGTACGACGCGAATCAGCCTGCGTCTTTGGTGAGATTGGTGAGATTTTACGTTTAACCTCAGTCGTAGCATAATCAGCAAATCGAGAAGTTTGAGACCATTCAATCTCATGTCCAATTTCTGCCTTGTGCTCAGTTAGCTCTGAACCCAATAGCCTTTGTAGGCGCTTTAGTGTTGTGACACACTTTGTCGAATGGGACGACAAGTCTCCAACATAAAAGCGACTACATGAAAACATTATTTTATAGCAATTCGATCTGGTTAATGAGTCGACTTTATCTCTAACATTGGGCATAACTGAAGAAAGTGTCGTATCTTCCCCGAAAACCGTTTTTATTCCTCACTACTAGTTTGATTAGATTATATTTATATATATATATATATTCCATAAAACTATGCATTTTATGATATATAAAGGGATTTTTTAGCTCACGTCATGTTAATATATTTGTAAATGTCTATGCGCTTCTTTATTTACGTGTACGATGGGAATCATTAGTGATAACTCCAAGCAATTAGGAAAGAGCAACATATCTTTCCTCCGACATCAAAGTTTAATGACTCCTCTTCTCATTTTTTTATATATCACTTCGACTTTACATTGTCGAACAAACCTCGTTAAATTGTTGAGCTTTTGTCTGTACATGTATGCTTGTTCATTAAGGCATATAGAAAGTATCATCGCAATTGAACACATGATAGCAAAAGTTTATTTGAGTTGCCTCTATCCAGGCGGCTCGATCGCCCCTATCTTTAAGTCTGTAAAGTAAGAATAAATAGTTCTTAAGTAACTTCTTACTCTTATTCATGACATTTAGGTAATTATGTAATCTACTCTTACTATAATGCCAAACTGCAAAATAATCACTTATATATCTTACTTATCTCTTCAATAAAGAGTTTCTTGTTCTTAATTAACCATCGAGTTAGTAATATTAAGTTCACATTGATAATAGAAAGAGATAATAGTTTGTAATTTTTG